AGAGAGAGAGAACATGAGCACAAGCAGGGGGAGCTGCAGACAGAGGGAGAGGGCCAAGCAGGGAGCCCGACGTGGGGCTCGATCTCAGGACCCCGGGATCATGACCCAAGCGGAAGGCAGACGCTTAACTGACTGAGCCATCCAGGCACCCTTGCAGTTTTTTGTTTTTAAAGATTTTATTTTATTTTTGAAAGATTTTATTTATTTGAGAGAGAGAGAGCATGAGAGGGGGGAGGGTGGGGGGGAGAAGTAGACTCCCTGCTGAGCAAGGAGCCCGAGGCGGGACTTGATCCTGTGACTCCAGGATAACGACCTGAGCCGAAGGCAGTCGCTTAACCAACTGAACCACCCAGGCGCCCTAAGGATTTTATTTTTAAGTAACCTCTATTGTAGGGCTTGAACTTACAGCCCCGAGATCAAGAGTCACACACTCCACCAACTGAGCCAGCCAGGCGCCCCAACCACTCTATAGTTTTGCACAACCTAATCCTCAAGACCTTGACCACCCACCCCAGGACATCATGGTGGTCTACTTCATTGATATCATGTTGCTTATCTTGGAGAATTTGAAGGGGCAGGAATCCAGGTGTAAAACACCTATGCTTGACTGGGGAGATAAATCCTGAGGAAAAATTGCCTCCCCGGCAAAATTCCTGGGGGGTCAGCATACTTCTCCCCCTAGGTGAAACACAAATTGCACTTGTCCCTCAATCTACCCAACACAGTGCACAAACCATGGTAGGTAGGCCTCTTCAAGTCTTGGTGAAAGCACTTACGTTTGGGTATTGCCTACCAGATGCATTTATTGGGTAGCCCTCAAATCTACTATGCTCAAGTGGGGCCTTGAGCAAGAGAAGATTCTCTAAGAGGTCCAGGCTCACACTGTGTATAGCAGACCCAAAACATATTTGGAACTTGAGGTAAAGATCAGAAGAGGCCCTGGGGTTTTTGAGGTCATCAGGTTAACGATTAGGGTTCTATTAGAGATTAGGCATTCTTCCATGGGACACCAAACTCTGCAACCTGGACCATGTGGGATCTGATAGCTTACATGTGCACCTAACAGCACTCTATGATCCATTAGATGCAGGTACAGATGGGACTGGTCTTGATTTAACCCTGAAGGTACCGGTAAGCTGCCTGTGTCTATACCAGTAAGAGGGCTGTACGTAAAGGATAAAAACAGAGGCCTGGTTTATGGGTGTCTCTACATGACATACTGGCATCAGCAGTGGATGCTAAGGACTTACAGCCCCATGCAGGGCATTGAAGGATTCCTTCCATTTCCTTCGGCTGTGAAGGAAACGCAGCCCAAAGACAGAGCTTCAAGAAAGTAGGACACAGTCTTCCGAGGACAAATAGCTTGTGTCAGAATCCTGGTGCAGAAGGGCAGGGCCTTTAGCAAGAATGCAACTGGACTTCCCAAGCTCACCAAACACTTCCACTGCAGAGTACCAGGTGGTCCCCTTCTCACAACAAAGCCCAAGGCTATGGGCACAGTTGCCTCAATCCATGGCCCATAACGTGCACCCATCAGCTCTCACCTCAGACGTTACACTGAGCACCTGAAACCAAGGACTGCATTGTCCTGCACCTGGGCCCAGTGCCTGGGAAAAGATGACCTACTATCAGCCTGTGGAGGGAGGCCATTGTCCTCAGGGGGGCAGGGCCTGATGGAGGCTGGGTGCAAGGCACTGTGAGAACCACTGGCTCTCTGCCTGTACTTCTGTACCTACTTCCTCACCTGGATGTTGAGGGATGGCCCATATTCCCTAAAAGGCTTTCATATTTTGGGGGTTTCCAGACCGTTTCTACTACATGGGAGTTGGGGAAAGAAACTAGGATTCTATTTGCTTTCCCCTGGTGGTATCTGGGCAAGTTCAGGTGAAGGGTGACAAAGGGGCAACGGCTCTGGCTCTGAGAAACACGAGGACCTGTGCTTGAAGAGGGGCCATACATCTCTGTGTTCACTTGGTGAACCTCGTGAACTTCAATTACAAGTATTTCTGGCACTGTAGGGTTTGGTTCAAGTGCTGGATAAACCACACTGACCTTGTAAAGGTCAACCAGGCCTCCCTGCCAGTACCAATCTGGTGTGTGGTCCAAGGAAGCAGGCAGTGCCAGGGCACATGTGGGTCACTGAAGTCATGGGTGGAAAGGGCCACCGAAAGAAATGGGGTCTCCTCCTTGCCTTCTGTGTCTTGGGCACACCAAACCCTAGAGGGCAAATCTCAGGGTCACGCAGAAGCAGGCCAGCGGTTAGCATGTATCTCAGGTACTGGGTGGTATCTGGTTACTCTGGCTGGAGTCCTAAAGGTCTAGATCAGGAGTTGGCAAACTTCTATTGCAGCTACTGGTTTCTGCCATCATAGTGTGAAAGTAGTCAATGAATGGGTGTAGCTGTGTTCCAATAAAATTTATTTACAAAAATAGGCAGCGGGCCAGACTGGGCCCAAGGACTGTAATTTGCCAACCACTGTCCTTGTCCTCGATGACACTTAGTAGATGAGCCAGTTGCCTGAGGTGACGATGGTCCATTCTGCTCCTCTGTGAGATGGGAACCTCTGAGGTCTGGTGCTTTGCTGAGTTGTACATGGGTGCAGAAGAGGTCACTGTGTATGGGAATTTCTGACCAAGTGGTGGGTGCAGAGGCCAGAATGTGAGGGCTACACTGGAACAGGTTGAGCCTCCTTCTTCATAAGAAACATCAACAGATTTATTGCAGATCAGGCCCAACCCTCCTACCCCCATACACACACGGTCCCTGGGTGGGCACTGTCCTTACTGGGCCCTTAAGAGCCCTTGTGCTGTGGCTTGACCACCAGCCCCTCTCTGGTGACAGCCCAGTTGTAGCTCTTTGGCGAGTCCAAGGCTTCTTCCACCCGTGCCTCCAGGTTCTCTCGGGTGATGAAATTTTTTGCTTCCTCCTATTGGGAGACAGAAGGCCAGATGAATGGAAGCACATACCTGCTGGCCTTTAGCCCACTGAGAGGCTACAGCTCTCCCCCTGGACGGATGCCTGGAGCCCAGGTCCTCTGTGAGTGCCCCAATGACCTTCCCGTGGAAGAACATCAGGCAGCCTTACCATATTCCTCTTTCTGAGATAATTATCCACTGGACATCTCAGCCAGAAATCCAAGCACACCAGCTGTGACAATCTCATGTCCCACTGGGTGGAATCAGTTCCTCAATGTTGCCTCAATGTCCCTCTTAATCTCTCTCAAACTTGTCCTTCTCCATTACTTTATTTTTTATTTTTTTAAAGATTTTATTCATTTATTTGACAGAGAGAGACACAGTGAGAGAGGGAACAAAGCAGGGGGAGCGGGAGAGGGAGAAGCAGGCTTCCCGCGGAGCAGGGAGCCCCATGTGGGGCTCGATTCCAGGACCCTGGGATCATAACCCGAACCGAAGGCAGACGCTCACACCCGACTGAGCCACCCAGGCGCCCCTCCCTCTATTACTTTAATTCAGACCTCATCCATTCTTGCGGGATCACTCCTAACTGGTCTCCCTGCTTTTACTGTCTCACATCTGCCATCCTAGCCCAGAATATTAACACTTCAATGACTTTATCACCCGCAAAGCAAAATCCAAACTCCCTGTGGAAACGGGAGTCCCTCCCACAGATGTGGGTTTACCACCACCTACTACTGGAATACTTTTTTTTTTTTTAAAGATTTTATTTATTTATTTGACAGAGAGAGACCCAGCGAGAGAGGGAACACAAGCAGGTGGAGTGGGAGAGGGAGAAGTAGGCCTCCCGCTGAGCAGGGAGCCCGATGCGGGGCTCGATCCCAGGACCCTGAGATCATGACCCGAGCCGAAGGCAGACGCTCAACGACTGAGCCACCCAGGCGCCCCTGGAATACTTTTTCTAACAACTCTCACCTCTGGGTCTCTACACCTGCCAGCCAGTCTCCTTGCACTCCTCTCCCAAATCCTCACCAGCTAACTCTCAAGACTCAAGGCTGCTCGCTCTCTCAGTGCACGTAGCGGGTGCCCCACTGCGCCGCGCCCAGGCCGAGTTCCCGGCCTCCAGCCCCCGCCCGCGGAGGCGCGGCTCACCTGCAGCTGCAGCACTTCCTGCTCCTTGAGCTGCGCCCAGGCCTCCGCCTCTCGGGCCCGCTGGGCTTTCTCCTCCGCCTGCCGCTGCTCCAGCTCCCGCGCCTCCTGCCGCAGCCTGGCTAACCTGGGGTGGGGTGGGGCGGGGTGGGGCAAGAGGCTGACCCTGAGCGCGGCTGGGTCTCCCCCGCGCCAGCCAGCGGCCCGCCCCGCCTCCCGGCCCACTCACCGCAGCTCGTGCAGCCGCTGGTTCTCCCCCTGGTTCCAGGCCATCAGGTCGCGGTGCTCGGTGGCATCCTGCACTGCCTTGCGCTCTGCCAGGACCCCGGCCCGGGCCTCGTGCACCTTCTTCCGCACCTCGGACACGAACTCCAGCCTGGGCGGAGACGCGCCCAAAGTCGGCACCCTCTACGCCCGGCCGCTCCGATACACCGCCCACGGCGCCGACGGCCACCTCCCCCTGGTCACACACACCTGAGGGCGCGCACTGTCTGGCGGTACTGCCGGTAACGCTCCGTCAGCAAGAAGAATTCTACAGGATCCACCGCGGGCGGGGTCGCCACGCGCCCGACCTTGGACTTGGCCGGAGGGTCGTGGCGGGTCTTGCGGCCGCGCACGGGCAGCAGCAACTGGGCCGGGGGCCCGCATAGGGAACCCCGGCCCAGGGCTCTCAGCGCGTGCAGCATGGCCCAGGTTGCCCGGCGTCCGGCGCGCCGCAGGGCATCACGGGACCCGGAAGCGGCCGCGGGGCACCACGGGACGCGTAGTCCGCGGGCCCCGCTTCCCACCCCCTGGAGTCCGCTCGTGGGTCGCGCGCCTGCACACTTCTGCGCCCGCCCCAGGCCCACTGGCTCTGGCTGCCCCCTCCCAGCGGGATCGGCCCCGCCCCGTGTCCCTCCCGCCCCGCCCCGTGTCCCTCCCGCCTGCGGGCCGGGCCTATGTCCCTCCAGCCCCCACGCGGGGTAGGGTCTTAGTGAGGGTGGGCGAAGAAGGGGACAGAGGAGAGACCTCGAGGCAGCAGCGTCAGGGACTTCACATCTTTATTGGAGGGCGACAGGGCGCGGCGCTCTACGTCCGGTCTGCGGGGGGTAGGGGTTGGTCATTCCAGCAGACGCCCTTGTCACCTGACCGCCCGGCTGCGACCTTGTCCACCCCCACCCCTCTTGACCTGGTTTTGTGGAGGATGCTGTCGCCAGGCGGACGCCCCCTGCCAGCTAGAAGACCCAGCTGGGGGCTCTGTAGCTCCCTGGGCGTGCTCGACCCTTAACACACCTGGTTTGTAAAACCTGAACTCACACCGACTTAATTAGGTGGTAAGTTTTTGCCTTATAGGAATTTACAACTTCTTCAGTTACCGCTCTCCGGTGCACTTTAAATTTGCAAAATATCAACAATCCATCTCTGCACACCAATCTTCCGCAATCACTGTCATTCCTAGTGCGTGTCAGTGACCACCTGGTTCTTGGTGTACCCCTCACCTCTTTCCACAGACTGAGGGCCTGCCCACCTACAGACACACTGGCTTCTCTTGACAAGAAAGAAGCCTGGAGGACCCCACTACAGTCAGTCTTATTTATGGAGGTTTTCAGTACAATTATCTCCACTCCACTAGTGACTTCTTTTACTTTCACCTAAGTATCTTATAAATTGTCTAGAATTCTGGGAAATAGGAAGGATAGCAGATAGCATCGTGTATGTGCCTGGGCCTGCCTTGGCAGGGGGTGTCTCTGTTGTCTCATTACCCCTCTCTTCTGTCCCCACAGCTGCCAAGTCCTTAGCCCCAATGGCCCCTCCTGGCCAAGGCCGGGCCTCTCCCTGTACTTACCAGCAGTATCTGCACCAGGTGCTGCTTCCAGCGGAGGCCACCAGCCTGTGGTTCTGCCCTCCCACACTGTTCTTGGGGGGAGCCAGGGGATCGCTTGGGAAGTCAAGGGTAGTCTGGTCTGGGCTGCTTGCTGCGGTGCCCAGGGCCCTTCCTCAGGGAGGAGCTGAGGCTGCGGCCTGCCCACTACTCCCACCCCAGGATCACAGGAGGTGAAGGAGCCCCAGCCAGCGCCTTCTTCCTCCCACTTAGACTGGGGAGACCCTTAACCCACCTAGGAGCCTTGGGGCATGCTGGGGGTGCTGGGCTGAGCTGGAAGCTTGTTTTCCTCCAGGGTACCAGCCATGGGACCAGTGCTGAGCCTTCGAGGATCCAGGGTGGACGGTCAGTAGCAGCAGAAAGCCTAGCCTGCAATGGGCCATGGCAGGGCTGCTCCCATGGAGAGTGGATAGCACTCAAGACGAGACACTTCCATCCATACCTCCTTCCTTTTCTTTCAGGGCCCCCTCGGACAACTGGCAATTCAGGGGCAGCTTTAGTGTTTCCTAATGTCCTTCCCTCTTCTGCCACTGCTCCTCATCCCAGGACTGTAGGGATCTGCACCCCAAAGGCTCCTGGCAGCTAGCCTTCCCCAGAGCCCCCTGGGGTGCAGAGGATCCCAGCCTTGCCAGCTGAGGACTGTCCTCAGTCCATCAGGCCTATCCCTCCTTCCTTCAGGGATTCCAGAAGTGGGAGAAGGTTGGGAAGAGGAACAGAGACTTGGGTAAGGGGAGCTCTCCAAGAGTAGCAGCAATGTAAGGGCATTTGGGGCACCTGGTGCATGGCACGCTGCCTCTGTTCTCTGTGGCTTGCCATCTCTTCCATGGCAGGTGGGGATATGGAATGGATGTGTGGTGGTGACAGGGGCAAGTGCTTCTACCCCTTGTCCCTCCTACACTAGAGGCAGCAGGCAGAGGAACAGCATTGGGGAGAGAAAGGGAAAGGTGGTTTTTTTTTCCCCTGGGACATGGTTCATGGGTAGAAGGACAGGGACTTGGGGGGGAGAAAAGGAACAGTGTGCCACACACCCAGGACAGACTTCCATCCAGAAGCCCCAGCCCTTGGGGAGAGCAGCCTTTTCACTCACCAAGGGAAAGCTGTGGATGAGGTGGCTCCTTGAGGTGGCTCCTCCAGGCGACAGTAGGACCCCCAGACAGCCAGCTCTGGGATTTATTGATCAGCTGACTCCACCCCGTTCCTGGTCTACGCACTCCCGTGACGTCTCAGAGAGGGAAGGGGGCAGCCTGCCACCCAACACCCTTCCCTTACCAGTGTGTGTTCCTAGTGTATTTTTAGCCAGTGGCCCTAGGTCACCAGACAGATTGCTCCCTCTCCATCTTCCCAGGGATCTGAAGTGGTAAGACTCCTGCTCCAGCCTGGCCAGGCCCTCAAGAATCATCTTCCCACTTCCCAGGAGGCATCCTCAAGCTCCTGCCCTTTGGCCTACAAAGCGCTCAGTCTTCTCTGACCCAAAAAGTAAACTGTGGCCTGGAGGTGGCAATGCCTGGGGACCCTGAGTCCCACACAGTTGGCAGCCTGAGTGGGGAGCCCAGCAACCTGTGAAGAGGTCTGGGGGAAACTATGAGGGCCTGAGGGCTTGTTTGCCGCACTGTAAACCGGGTTGATGGAGTGGTCCTCATCCACACACCTGGGCACCAGGGCTGGGTCACTCCAGACGGAGGTAGGTTTGGGTGGGGCACACCTACCCCCAGGTGGTTTTTCTCTCCTCCCAGGAGGCCTATGAGCCGGGGCCCAGCTAAGAGGGCAGTGCAGCATCTGTGGGCCTATGAAAGAGCAGGGTGTAGGAATAGTTTTGCCTCTCAAGGTTCCAAGCCTTCCCCTGTGCTCAACCCAGGACTATTCATGCAGTTGGGCACAGCTAATCTAGGACACTCAAAACGTGCCCCCACCTCTCAATCTGCGTCAGCTCAGCTTTCTCCCGCCAGCTATTAGCCTGGGGGTCAGGGGGAGGGCAGAGGCCTGTTTACAGGGTTAATAGCCAATCTCCACATTTGGGCTGAACAGCAAATGCAAGGGCCAGGGTCAGGCTTGGCGTGGGGTGGCCAGTCGTTAGGAGAGCAGGTGCGTCAAATCCTGCGGTAAAGATGGGGGAGGGGATGGCGTAACGGGCACCGCAGTCATCTACAGGGCGCCTGGACTTCAGCTGCCCAGCCAGGAAGGCACACATGAACTTCCAAAATGACTTATCTTTAGCAGGGACCCAAAGCCATGTGTGGACTGTATATTCAGTTAAATTGTTTTGGGAAATACACTTTGTTCTTATATGTGTTGGTTAACCAAGTAATTTTTAGGGAAACATTTGTTTTGTGGTTTAGTGAAAATGACTGAGTTCAATAAACTAGCTTAGTTCTGGTTTGGGTTTACAGAATGTTTTATTCAAGTCCCCTGTGTTTATTTTAAAAGAGGAATGGGGTGCCCTTATTTTTTCTGTAATTTGTTTGTGGTTTTCCTTAAAAAAATCCAAACCAGAACTAAGCTTCCCAGGGGATGCTCTGGTTCCTTTCTGGCAACATCCGTAGCTTTTCAAGAACGTTTGCTGTCCCCTTCCAGATTACAGACTCAGAAATTCATCCTCCTATCCCTCTCAGCAGGGCACAGAAAGCCATTTGTTCACCACTGAGCTCCAACTAATGGTCGGCCCTGAGGATAGGACTTTATTCGTCTGGGAGCTGCTTGTAGTCAGCTGGGAAAGCAGAGGCTTAGAGCTGAGTGCTCAGGTGCTGCTGGAGCACAGAGGGGCACAAACCCCGGATCAGAGGGTCTGGGTGAAGGATGACAGTGAGTTAGCCAGAATCTGCACACAGGGTGGCTTGGTGCTCCCACGTAAGGAACAAAAATGGAGAAGAGTCAACACAGGAACTGCCAGTGGAGAGAGGTGCAGAGAATGCTGGAAGGCCGTAGGAAGGGACGGGAGACTCTGCAGAGACTGGGTGAACCTCTAGGCGGTGGGAGTGTGAGGCAGGTGCGCGTGGGTCACCCCATATAGTCACTTGGCTGGCAGCAGGATATGCCGCCCCAGAGCCCAGGACGGGAGCTCAGGGTTGGAGAAGGGCTGAGGGTCTGCCACATACCGACCACAGGAATGCCCGGTCTCTGGGGAAGGAGAAAGAGGAGCAGCAGAGGCTACAGAGTGAGGATAAAGGGAGTGACTAGTGGACACAGAGTGGGTCCGTGATGAGCGGTAAGAAAGGAATCTGTGGGGATGAAGGGTGGAAGAGGGGAGAGTGAGTCAGGAGACTATCAGCCTGGGGGCAAAGTGCCTTTTTTTTTTTTAATTAAAATCAAAGACTTGTGCATTTGGTGGTGATGGTGGTGGAGTGCGAAGGAAACTGAACCAGGAGTGCGCTGACTTAAGTGAGGTCTGAGCACAGTGGGCACTGGATGCCTCGCTCCCTCTTCTGAGACATCCTCACCGGCTCTAGCTCCAACTCTGTGGGGCACAGCCAACTAGCTGAGGGGCCGGCACTGGATGAAGCAGTCACCCCAGCTGTTCCCACATGATTGTTCGGTGTGAGCCCTGATCCACTTCCCGTTAGCCTTGACTAGTTCCTGTTGGGTTTATGTCTCTTGCAACCATACAAGTCCTGCTTGAAGACATCTGTTCAGCAGCCAGATGATATTTAAAATATTGACCCAGGGGCACCTGGGTGGCTCAGTCAGTTAAGCATCTGTCTTCGGCTCAGGTCATGATCCCAGCATCCTGGGATTGAGTCCCGCATTGGGATCCCTGCTCGGCAGGCAGCCTGCTTCTCCATTCTCCCTCTGTTGCTCACCCTGTTTGTGCTCTTTCACTCTCTTAAAAAAAAATAAATAAAGTCTTAAAAATATATATATATATATACACATATATATATATATTGGCCAAGGGGCGCCTGGTGGCTTGGTTGGTTAAGCTTCTGCCTTCAGCTCAGGTCATGATCTCAGGGTTCTGGGATCGAGCCCCACGGCAGACTCCCTCTGCTGCTCCACCCCGCTCATGCTCTCTCTCAAATAATAAATAAAATCTTAAAAAAAAAAAAAATTGGCCAAGCCACCAAGCAAATCAGCATGGACTTCAGCAGCAAGTGGCCAGGCCACACTGGTGGGTAGGTAGAGGTACTCAGGCCTTCTGTAGGAACCCTGGTACACACTGGTGTGTAAGCTGCTCAACACCAGCCCTAGCAACAGGAGGTAGGCAGCCTGCTGGGACGTAGGGAGGCAGCGCAGGGCACATGATGGGCTCTCCTATCAGTCTGCCATGTAGCTTGCTGACCCAAGGCCTGCCCTCCTCCATCTGTCAGGACTTGGTCATAGAGGCACCAAAAGGTAGTTTGCAAAGAGCCAGGGTCTCCTTCCCAAACATGGTATCTCTCATCAGAAATCCTTCTCAGATCGCTTAATTTACTCATGCTTCTTTGAAAACCACCGAGTTTTGAGTTTATCGCCGCTTGGAGTTCCTTAGTTCTTACAGAAGGACCAAGTACTTCTGATGCACACTCACTTCTCAGAAACTTGCAGAGGTGGTCTGTCACAGTGGCCCTGCCTCCCGTAGGTATCCTATGTGGTGGTGAACTTGGCTCCCATCTTGGAGCCACTGCATCTGTTCACCTTCTGTAGGGTCCCGAGGCCTTCTGTAATGTGGCTCCATGTGACCTTGCCTCCTTTCATTCATTCAAATTTCCAGCATCCCTTGGGTCCAGTTCAAGTCCCAACTCCGCCAACAAGCAGAGCAGCAGTGACCTCTGAGTGTGCCTCCACGGTCCAGGCTGGGGTGCCACTTCTCGACTCCTGACGGCCTAAGTCGCCCAGGGCCTGCCCCTGCTCCTTGAGAAAGGCCCCATGGGCCTTAAGACTCTCTCAACCCCGCACTGGCGGCTGTGCCAACTAAAGATGACATTTCCCAGCATTCCTGTAGTCACACAGTGTAGCCTTATGACTAGGTTTGAGCCAACAGGGGGGAAAATGTAAAGAAGAGCTTTTGCTTCATGTCCTTAAAAATGAAGTTGCTTTCTCTCCATTTTCTTTTCGCTTCTCCATGGGAAAAGACAGTGATCCAGCTTCAGCCATGAGGACAAGAATAACATTCTAAGGGATACTGGGGCCAAAAGACAGGAGAACACTGGGTCTCTGGACTGGGCACCCCATTACATGAGAAATAAATGAACATCCATGTTATTTAAGACACAAACGCTAGATACTTTTGTATAATGTTAGGCTTGATATCAAGTTGGGATTGAAGACGCCTACCATCCTGGCCTCTGGATCTGAGGCACTTCCACATAAAAGTCCTGGAAACGTAGACAGATATAAAAGGAAACAAAAGCTATTTAATCTAGTAAGTGTGGATATAAAGACTTATCCTGGACAGAGGACACAGTCCAGACAGTTTTATAGCAAAGCACCAGGGAAGTCGGACTGGCCTTAGCCAGCTACCTCCTCTCTCTTCCATGCCCCTGCGCTAGGGGGGCAGTGAGGACGCTGACCATGTTCCAGGGAGCAAGGCTGGCTGGGATCAATGTACCAAAGATGTGCTGGGAATGGAGGGTGGGTCCTGCCAACTAGCTGAGAGCTGGAGAGGCTGTGCCAGCTGGAAAGGAGTTGAGAGGACAGTGGCTCCTGAGACCAGTTGAGACAGAACACTAACAGCAGGGCCAGGCGTGGCCTAGGAGAGCCTCAGCCTTGGTCCGGCTGCCCCACCCCAGACAAAGGGAGACGCGTCCTCAGGGAGTCAAAGCTTTTATTACCTGATAATCCCTAGTGTGGTGCCAGAGATACCGCTCTGGTCCCTTTACTCCCCACAGTGGGTTGTGGTGGTGATGGGGAGAGGCTGGGGAGGGGAGGGATTATTTACAGAGCAGGGAGGGAACAACAGCCTGAAAGGGGTGGGGGAAAGGGGGCACCAGGACAACCAACTTCCTCAAGAGCTCTGAGAACTTTGTGCTTTTTTTTCTTAGTTGATGCTGAGCTACCTGGAATTAATTTTGTGTTCCTTCTTTAGGAAAAGATGTCTAAACCAAAGAATAATACAGCCCAATTTCCAGGCAGAGGATTTCACGATATCAATCCAAACATCACAC